GCTGATTTGTGATGATTAACATGTTTGTTGTATTCAGTATAAGTATAATACCTCGGAGGCGAGCTAAACAGACTAGGGATTTGTATACAAAACACCAAAGGTTAACAGTGGAGCTAAGTTATAAGAAGTAATTTTAAGACAGGATAAACGACTAGCGAGAATCTGGCGAAAGCAACAAAGTGTAATAGCACTGTTTCAATTGTTAATATGGAGTTGTAAAGTTTTTATGAAAATACGACTTAAAGAAAAATCTTGTTATTTTGTGAAATGGGAGAAGGAGTAGAATCGATCAATAACAAAATTTCTCCTTAATCGACTAATTTAAATAATTTGTTTATTTAACAAATTAGTTAGCCAGATTGTTGTTCTCCGATTGGTAAAGATCCCAGAGATTTAAAAAGGTCCAATTAACTCGCGCCCGGGAGAAATTTTCCAGGCCTAGAAAACTTGACGCACGAACATACCTTAAGGCGCGTCTAACAGGTACCCATGTGGGTAGTAGCCTTAAGGCCGAGAAGGAACGTCCACCATCTTAGCTCCGCAGTCTTACTCGGCAACTCGTACGGTACGGATGGTACATTCTATAAGCGTGCGACTAACAAGTTCCGGGAGCTCACCATTAGCGCTAAACAATTCGTGTGCGTTAAACATTGTGATATATACTCAGTGTATATAATAACTGTGGTGATAATAAAAGCATTTTATGTAATTTAACGGTAAAACTGTGATATCGTTATTCGTGCAAGTGCACGTGCTATTCCCGCCAATCCTCAGGATCCCGAGGGAGAAAACTACCCCGCAGACGGCCGAGGGGCGGACATCCTTGTTGCTAGAAGGACAAAGCAACTGGCGACCGTGATAAACATCGAAAGTAGTAAGTCCTTGACCGTATTTATGCCTAACCTCGGTCACAACCTAACTATTGGGTTAGCCTACTTGTGGTTTAGCAGGGTTGGTTCTTAGGGATTTATTTGACCTATGAAGGTCACGGTACTGTTGAATTTAGATACGTATCTAGACGTAAAATTTTCCGCTCTTTTCGAATCCGGTTTTAAAAATATGGGTTCCCATAAGAAAAAAAACGTTTTGACCTTGAAATGACTTTGACATTTATTGTCAAGGTCAAATCTGATTGCATAGATAGTTGGCCCCTATTATTCCGAGCAACTTTTGTTTGAACCATTTTTCCAGAGCATGCATAAAAATCGAGATATATGGCTGATGAGATTAAAATGGCCCACCGTGTATACATGCATATTTCCATACAAACATCCTGCAAACTGCTCTTAGAACCTTATATATTTTGTTGAATTTTATGAGAAGCTTAAGAATTTAATTGTTATATATATTTTGTTCACGACAGTCGACAAGGGCAATACTGTAGTAGCATTAGAGCGAAAGAATTACACACGTAAAATGGAAACGTTGTTACCAGACGTAACCACTTTTTTGTTTTTTTTTATACGAGGGGAAATGCGTTATGCACCCCTGCCCTGTGGGGATTTGGGCGGGGAGTGTGGGACTCGCACCCACTATAACCTCTCGATGGCCTCCACCGGACATAGTGGCGGAGCCTGTGGCAGCCGCGAGGTTATTACGTCTCCAGGCCCCCCCCGAGTCCAAGGCGTGCCCCCAAAGGACAACGCCTCCTATCACCGTTGTCTTTGGGGTTGCGGCAGGAGGAGAGGACCATAGCCCTCCTCAAGCCGCCCCTTCTTGGAGACTTGTGCAATGGAGTGGCAAGTTCCCCAACTTGCCACACCAAGTCCCCGCCCCCCGTGACCGAAGTCAGGAGGGGTCAATACAATATTTTGTACCCCTTATCCGAGACCAAGCAGCCCCATGACTGGGTCCGGAGGTCACGCCCGAGCCGTGACCCCTCCACCCCGAGCACGGATACTGCCTCCAAGTCGAGCTTAATTGCCCGACTTGGAAGACTTAGGTCCCGGTTTTTCTCTTCTCGGTGAAGGGGAGGCTGACTTGCCTCCCTTCTGCCGCTTGGGGGAGGGCTCCTTAGTGGAGCCTCCCCCTGAACCCGGCGCTTTTGGCGCCGCACCTGTTTGTGTCCGGGGGCCAGCGACCTTACGGTCTCTGGTCCCGGACGCTTTCCTTTTGGGGAGAGGGGGAAGCATCGCGCCGTCCCCACTCCTTTTTTCCCCGGTTTCCGGCTGTTCCCGGAGACCGGTAGATTCTTCGCTTGGGGCGGAGGCTTCAGTGGCCTCCCCCCTTTTTCCCGTGGCGGGCTTTGTGCCTTCAGAGGAGGCGGACGCGGGAGGGACGTCCTCCCGCCCTTCGCCTTCCTCCGGCCACAGCCGGGCCAGGCTCCCCACCGGAGAGAGGAGGTAAACCTCCTCTCCGTCCTCCTCCCAGCCGGAGGAGTCTCCGCCGGACCCGGCACTGCGGGCCCGCCGGTTCCTTCTCTTCTTCGGGGAGGTGTCAGGCACCGTCACCTCCCCGCCCTCCTTGCCACCGGATGGCAGCGTAGGCGCCAGAACTTCGGCGCCCCGCCTGGTGGCTACTTTTTTAGCCGGAATGGGGGCGCAACTTGCGTCGCCCATCCGGTAGTTTGTTGGCTGCCCCCGGCTCGCACACAATGTGCATTTGAGGGCAGCCCTACACGAGATGGCAAGGTGGCCACCCTCCCCGCATCTGTAGCACGCCGTGCTCCGATCTACACCGGAGCACTTGCGTGCCACATGCCCGTACTCGAGGCACCGGTAGCACTGCATACGCCGTGCCGCCAGTGCCTCGACGGGGAGGCTGAACCACCCCACCTCTACTCGTTTCGCCTCTACTACCCGCCGGGCCGCCCTCAAGGGCATACGGGCGCACAAGGTCCCGTATCCGACGGGAGAGGAGCGAACCAGCCCAGTTCGTACCTCACTGGGCTGGCATCCACCTGCCGCCGCTAATGCGGCGGCAATGTCCTCCGCGGAGAGGGGGGGCACCACGTCCCGCACGCGAATTTCTGCGTACTTTGTGGGACGGGTGAACCTTACCCCCTCAACGCCCTCGAACGCTTTCGACGCCCTCCCGACGAGGGCGTCGGCCTTCTCAGCTCCTCCAGGCCCGGGTACCTGGAGGAGCATGCCGCCAATGGCCGCCCTCTTTATCCGGAGGCCGGAAATTCCGACCTCCTTCAAATTGACGGCGGCCGCTGCCTTCTTCATTATTTCGGCATAACTGCCGCCCTCCCTTACGGTAAGGAGGACGGCAGCCCCAACAGGGAGCCTGCCGAGTTTCGCCATCTTTGCTGCCCCGGCGCGTCGACTCGCGCCAGCGGGAGCAGCGGGAGGGCGCCGTTTTTCCTCAGGAGGGGAAGGCTCTTTTCTCCTCCTACGCGCTTTGCGCCCCACAACCGTCGCCCAGGTGGTCGGGGCGGGTACGGCTGCAGGCGCGCTCGAGGACTGAGAGGCGAGCTCTCTCCTAATTAGAAAGAGGATTTGCCCCTCCATCGCGTCCCCAATTTTGTCCGCTAAGAGGCGGACACACCTCTCCTCCGGGGAGTCAAGAGGAGGATTTTCTCTGAGGGACTCATCCGCCCCCCCTCCGTCTGTACCCCCCCGGGAGTTCGTCCGCGGCGGCGGGATCTTTGCCGCGGTCGCTTGCGAAGGGAGCGCAGGCCCTCCGACCTGCGTCCCGCAGTCCGCGACCTCCCTCCTCGACGCGCCCACGAAGGAAAAACCCTTCTCGTAGGCCGCGTCGAGCATTTCGCGGACTTTTTTGTACCGGGAGGACATAATCCTCCCGGCCTTCTTGCTTAGCCGGAGCTTTTCCTCCAGCGTCCTGACGCGCTCATCCACGAGCGCGCCAGGCCCGGACAGCTTCAACTTTGCCGCCTCAATAGGCATATGGGCGAGGGCGACAATGCCATCACCCAGTCCCTTTATTGTGGCCGCCACGTCCTTCAAAATCTTGACGTAACGTCCGGCAAGATTCTTAGACGTGGTGGCCACTTTCGTCACGGCCTCCGCGGCTGCGTGCGTCTTCTGCACCATTTCAGCCGCGGAGGCAACCGGGCACGAGAGCCTGGAGGACGGTAGCCGAGTGGTGTCGCGCCACGACCTGTCCTCCAGCTCCATAACTGCCTCCGCACGCCTCGCGTCCGAGGCACGCTTCTCGGCCGCGACAATGCCGAGAAACTCGGCGGCAGTCGGCGGTTTTCTTACGCCCCCACTCGTGCTGGGGGCCAGTGTGAAGACGTCCTCCTCCACCTCCATGTCCGAGCTCCCGAATGGAGGTGGGGACCCGGACAAGCCAGCGTATGTTGGGGAGCGAGAACGCTCCCTCGCCGGCTTCTTCGTTCTCTCTCCCTTAGGAGGGGCGCCAACGGCGCTACCCTTCGTGAGGGAGAGAGACGCCCCAAACATACGTCGCGCACCAAGCGCGAGTACGTCGGAACGTTTCTTCGCAGTCGCAGTTTCTCCCCCCACCCCTGCGGTGCAGGCGGAGGGTAGCCCATCTCGAGATAACGACATGGGGATGCCTGGGACGGCAACACCCCCACGCCGGGCCCTGAGTGTCCGATCACTCTGGGCCGGTACGGTTATCTCATCCTCTGAACTACTCATCATGATTGCTAGAGGAGTGGTTTAATTTTGGAGTTTTCCTTCTCCTAGGCCGGTTGACATCCAAGTCTGACGAGCCCGACCTGCCCGGATTTGAAGTCAGGGTTTACTCCCCTATCCCAGTTGTCCCCGTTTTTGGGGGCTAACAGAGCTGAGAACTCCGGGTTTTTGTTCGAGGTTTTCCTTCCTCTATTCCCTCTCTTAGTTCAGGAACTCACCAGGGGCCTTTCCGAGCATGGGAGACCCTACCAGGGACTCAAAGGAGTCCCCGCCGGCATGGCCCCCTGGATCATAGTTCCCCTAAGCCCGGCCACCACGACAAGGTGGAGGGAAATCGGCCGGGAGACGTAACCACTTAATCTGTTATTAACCTTTAAAGGGCCGGTATTTGAGAGGGCATATCCGCTTTAGTAAAGTAGTAAAAAGGGCATTTCATATCATGGATTGACTATACACTAAGTGTCGATCATGGGTAGTAAATTGTCTGTTGATATCATCGATTTTACCCATCTTTTTGTTATAATCCACGATACAAATGGGTTTTATAATATCTTTATTGGTTTTGTAGTTTTTCCTAACAGTTGTACAAAACTGGTGTTCGTGAATACTTGTCAATACATAAACTTCCTTTTTATCCATCCATTTGATTACTATCCAAGAATCGGTGTGGGCAACTTTTGTTTTACCACGATCTAGCTTTGAACTGAGAGTTGGCATTTCTTTACGATTGTCTTTTACAGTTTCACAAAGACCAGTATTTCTGTCATGTAAGTAGTCTGACAGTTGTGGAGATGTATACCAATTATCAGTGTATAACACACGCCCTTCGTTACAATAAGGTTGCATGAAATGTGCAACAATATCACCAGAAACGCTTAAATCAAATTTCTCATAATCAGTGTCTGAGCCAGTATATACTATAAAATCTAAGAGAAATCCTGTTTCGCAGTCCGCTAATTCAAATATCTTCATACCAAATCGGTGTCTTTTTAATGGTACGAATTGTTTGAATTTTAACTTCTCTTTCCATAAGACTAAACTTTCGCCAATGCAAAGCTTTTCACCAGCAATAATAGTATTACCAAACTTTTCTTTCAAATGATCCATCACTAGCTTGATTTTTTTCAAAGGATGATTAGAAACTTCTTCATTGTTAAAAAAGTGAAGGTATCGTAAAATTTGAAGATATCTATTTTGAGATAGACTTTCGCCGTATATTAAAATGTACAGCAGTGGATCTTGGCTCCAATAATCCTTTAGTTGCCCTTTTACAACATGACCCATGTTTATTGATAAAGCAATAGTAGTGTAACTATGAGAGTTCTAAGCCAGGAGCTTCGAGGGGGGCGCGGGGTATGACATCACAGGGGGAGGGGTGACGTCATACGGAGGGGAGGGGGTATGACGTCACAAGGAGAGGGGGTATGACGTCACAG